TTCAAGCGATTGTGCTGGCTGCAGAGTAGCCTCTTTAAAAAAGACCGGGAGGTTCTCAGGCAAAGGCAGTAGCAGCTCTAAGGGACAGAACCAAACTGCAGGCAACTGGGACACTCAGTTCACTGGGATTTGATAACTCGGGCTTTGCTGAGGGTGATTGTTTCAGGTGATTCATTTCAGAGGAGGGTGTATTTGTCAGTGTTCCCTGCTCTGAAATGCGGCTGAGGACTCATGGGCGTGATACATTTCCACCCACTTGCCCCCTTTTTTGTGTCAATCTGACTTTCCCACATGGGGCAGAGGTGGCCGGCTGGTACCTTTGAAATACCTAAGTGGATGGTTCCCTGTCAGCTTCTCTCTTTGGCCTTGCAGTTTGCTCACTGAATCCACATCCAGGTCATTTTGCTTCTCTGCTTATTTCTCTCGCCCCATCTCGAGGCAGCAGGGAGGTGGGAGGGATCAGCTGTTAAGTCCTGTTGTGATCCGAGGCTTTGGGCACCTTTGGCGGCTTGTGAAAACAATGTCACAGGTGTGAAAAGTGCGTCACTGCGAAGGGACCAGATTTCTCAGTGCCACCACATCCCCTTCACACCACTCTGGCAGCACAAAGCCACCTTCACATGGACGTAAATCACAGCTCCACTCAGATTACGTCCCCTTTCCACTGCCAGAGCCTTGTATAAATGAGAACCAAGCCCTGGGTATTTGTAGCGATACAAATTCAAGCTGGGATTTTCAAAGCATCCAGCTCCCCAAAATCCCGTCCCTGCAAATGAAGGATGGGAGCAAGCCCCCTCCCCCTCTGGAAATCAGTGGGAGTGCTTCCGGGGGCATCGAGCTGGAGCAACGGGCGCAAGTAACCAGCAGAAAACAAAATATTGACTTGCTGCTCATTAAGTGAGCCTCCTCCATTCTGTGCACTGACTGAGGCCGGGGTCCTGAGGGAAAACCAGTCAGTGATCATGGAACTGAAGACAGTGATCATGTAATTGAGGACTGTATTATAAAAGGGCAGGGCCGGTGCTACCATTTAGGCAAACTAGGCGGTTGCCTAGGGCGCCAAGATTTGGGGGCGCCAAAAAGCGGTGCCCCCAATTTTTTTTTTACATCGTTCCTACGCCCCCTCCCCGAGTGTCCGGTCACCGCTCCACTTCTCCCGCCTCCTAGGCTTGCATCGCCAATCAGCTATTTGGCACCGCAAGCCTGGGAGGGGAGGAGAATTAGAGCGGGGGCGGTGTGCTCGGGGAGGAGGCGGAGCAGAGGTGAGCTGGGGTGGGGAGCTGCCGCACGGCTCCCCGGGGGGGGGAAGCTGCCGCGGGCGGGGGGGCCTCAGGGCGGGGGGGGGGGGAGCGGCGGCAGGGCGGGGGGGGGGGGGGGGGGGGGGCGCAAGGTGGAAGTTTCGCCTAGGGCACGAAACTTCCTTGCACCGGCCCTGTAAAAGGGAGCCGGATTAAGCCAACCACCACAGTTTGACAATTGCTGCTGTGTATTAGTTATTCATGCCACTGTCTACCCTAGTGATACACTGTGAGGCATTCTCTGTAAAGATTGGCTGAATCTGGATTTCAATGCGCTAAGCTTCAGGGGTGCCCTGATATTGAGGTGTTTGTTCAACTCATCAGCAAGACAGGGGCCATTTGCAAACCGTGAATCCAGTCCCATATTTGACTTTTAACCTCCCCAGAAGGGTGGCTGAATCTAGGTTCTTGGTTTGGGCCTGTTGTGCACTTGAGTTCTCTAGAACTTTGTGGGCGTTAATCCGTGCCAGAAGCCAGCCATTTGAGATGCGCTTTCTCCATCACCCATGACAGGTGGCAAACTTGGCAGCGATGGGGCGAGCTCTTGCATGCATGAAAGGAATTATGGGTCAGTGAAGTCCCATGGGCCTAAATGAGCCGACATCTGGAATTAGAAGTAATTTGTTGGCTGGAGTGTGACAGCAGGGGAGGTCTCTTTGCCCATCGCAAGTGAACAGGGCAGCGATCAACTGGATCCCTCGAAAGAGATGGCGTTTCGGAAGATACTGGCAGTACATAAAACCTCTACGGTGCACAGACTATGAGATCTAGCCCACAGTTGGGTTTTATTTATATACTGCCTTGTTCATGTATGGATAGATAGATAGTTACATGGTTTCCATGACAATCTTTGCTCAAACTCCATTACAAAGCCCCATGACTGCTTGTAGGGCCCAATTCTGCTCCTGCTGACAATCAGTGGGAGCTGGGCGCCTAACTCAAATAGGCTCCTTTGAAATTCCCATCCTATAATGGGGGCAGGCTCAGACTAGATGAAGCCTGGAGGCCCAGGAGCCTGGCCAGGACTCAGGCCCTGTTGTATGCAAGAGGCCAAACCCTTTCCCCGGCCCCCAACCCAATGTATCCACCTGGGTGGTCGGGAATCCCCCGGGGAGGAATGCACAGGCTGATCCACAGCCCCTGCTCCACTCCAGGTGTCCCCTCTTCCATAAAGGCCTTACAGTGGATGTAAATTACAGTTATACCCACATTAAGGGCCCTTTGCACTGGAAGGGTGGCCCAGTCGTTACAGAACTAGCCTAGGCCCTACTCTAGCACATACTTCCTCTGTGACCTTGGGCAAGTCACTCCCTCGCTCTGTGCCTCAGTGTCCCCATCTGTACCATGGGGATAATAGCACCACCTTGCCCCACAGAGGGCTGTGGAGATAAATACATTAGAGTCTGTGATAATGGGGGTCATATAGGTGCATAGGTCAGGTGGATGCTGCATAAAGGGGCCATAGTATAAATGAGAATCAGGCCCTGAAAATGCCTTCTCTTCTGAAGGGGTTGCATAAACATACTGTGGGTTGAAGTGGCCGATGAGCTAGGCTAGCAGTCCTTGTCCACCAGTAATTGTCTGGGTTCCAGGCTGCTGTAGCCTGTGCCCTGAAGTTTTGTGCTTTGATGGTGTTTTCCTGATCATCTCTTCACGATGGATGAGGCTCAGCCACAGGGGATGTGGCTTCTTTGCTGGATCAGAAACCTGGGACTGGCTCCTGAATCAGCTGTCGGTGCATGCTGTAATAATACAGCCAGGTTAAAAATAGAAAGTGCTAATCTTTATCCTCCAGAACTTTTGTTGTGCCATCTTCCAAAAGGCACTGAGAGCTAATGCGATTGCATCTGCTAATCTAGAGACACACGGCCACACGCCCACTCGCTTCCAGATGCTCCGGCGCACGCACGCACGCACACACACACATACACACAAAGGGACACAAGCGCGTGCACAAAGATGGAGCGCCCCTTGCTGATGCTGGTGTGGAGCAGTCTGGCTCGGCAGGGTCAACAGGGGGACACTGGTGTAAAAACGATACGGAAGGTGGAGTGTGCCTGAATTTTAGCTCAGCAGATCGTGTGCAGTGTTTTGGCACCATTTGGAGTTGATTTTCGAGGCAGGGAAACAAGACCAAAGCCACGTTTTTCAACACAGAACTAGATATATTCTTTCCTCCAGCCTATGCCCGCTGTCTGGTCCGATGCACAAGTGGTGGGGAGGGGTGTTAGCCAGGGCAGGGATGTGAACAGTTGTGAGAGTCCAAGGGAGAACTGTAGCTTTTTCTGACACGTTTGTCTGCAGATAATGGCCACCGTGGTGTGTGTGTAACCCGCTGCGTGGCACAGAGCTCTCTGCAAACCCACCCCGCAAGCCAAGCAGTGAGATCTTATTCGTCTCACAAAACAGGGCGAAAGGTTTGGTTCTCTTGGACGGGGAAGAGGGTTCTTGGGACTTATGGTCCGGGAGGGGGCCCTGATTTTGGAGGCCCAGTTTAAGACTCCCGAGGATCTTGATTTTCAGAGCTGAGCAGCTACCTCTGCTGGTGATTTCCATTGGTGTTGTGGAAGCCCTGCCCAAGCTGTCTCACATGGGGATCCCACCGCTGCCAGAAGAAGTCAGGGGGGAGGGATAGCTCAGTGGTTTGCGCATTGGCCTGTTAAACCCAGGGTTGTGAGTTCAAGCCTTGAGGGGGCCATTTAAGGAGCAGGGGCAAAAATCTCTCAGGGGGTTGGACTAGATGATCTTCTGAGATTCCTTGATATTCTATGAAATACTGAGGCACCCCCTACCCATCACCACATTAGGAAACACTGGCCATGAGCACTAAGCCCATGGGGGGGCCATTAACAGCTTCCTTACAGCACATGTTGCAAATTTCATTGTGTGTATGGCTTTTAAAAATTGTAACAGTGCCTAGCGCTCAGGCTGTGATTTTCAGGGGCCTAAGGAAGTTGGGGGCTCTGCCCCCCCCCACCATTGAAATCCCCCAGGAATTAAGGAGGAGATTTTCATAAGGGTCTAAATAGAGGCGCACAAGGCAAATTGACTTTGAAAATCCCAGACTAGGGTAGAAATCAAAGGAGCAGGTTTTCAAAGTTGCAAAGGACGGTTAGATAGAATTTGACCTTCAATGGGAATCAGGTCCCTGAGATAGTTATATGACCCCGCATCACTGTAGTACCTGAGCAGCACTCACAATCTTTAATATAGTGATCCTCACAACCCCCCAACTCCCCGAGATAGAGTGCTATTATACAGAGGAGAAACTGAGGCAGACAAAGTGACTTGCCCAGGGTTACACAGTAAGCCAGCAGCAAATCACAGATTTGAACCCAGGTCTCTTAACTGCCAGGCTAGTGTTCTAACCACATCCTTCCTCTCAAAGGGTAGGTGGACACCTAACTCCAAAGTGTGCCACTGGAAGGTGCCCTCAAAAATAAATGAGTATACTACTCTGACATCAGTACTGGGTGGACTAGACAGTGCTCTAGCATCGGGCGTGGGGCTCTGTAGATATGCAGTGCAGCTCCAACAACAGAAAACAATTATAAGCACACACAGAGAGTTACACCACACATGCTATAAATGTATAAACCCTGAGTGGTTCCAGCAAAGCCATCCTACCGGTAGCCAGTCTGGAGCGGAAGACCTTTGTCGGCTGTGGCCCGCCACTGACAGTTGCTACTTTTTGCTTCGTAGGTCAAAGATGAAAAAAACATCCAGGAAGTGTTTGACCTGAGTGATTATGAGAAATGCGAAGAGCTCAGGAAGTCCAAAAGCAGAAGCAAAAAGAACCACAGCAAGTTCACGCTAGCACACTCCAAACAGCCTGGAAACACGGTATAGCTTCCTACGCAGCTGGTGCTCACCTTCACCAAGAGATCAGGCTGTATTGACTATGGCAGCATGAGTCAACAGCCCGATCCCCTCCTTTGTCTTTCTCCAAGATCTAGTGTGTCTCCCCCTCCCCCCCCCGCCCAATCCCTAAATTATTGGACTGGGCACAGGGATCCCTGGGAGGAATTCTCTGGCCTGTGCCGTGCAGAGGATCAGCCTAGATCATCACAATGGTCCCTTCTGGCTTTAAGACCTATGAACCTCCATCTGTTGGAGGCAGTAGACCCTGCAGTGATGAGTGATGGCCAGGGAGTTTTTGCCATTGACTTGTAATGGCAGCAGAATCAGGCCTCTGGCCTCTATAATTAAATAAGCCAATCATTTAACTCCAGATCCTTGGAGTGAGATGTTGTGAAGGCCAAGACTACAACAGGGTTCAAAAAAGAACTGGATAAATACATGGAGGATAGGTCCAGCCAGGATGGGCAGGGATGGTGTCCGTAGCCTCTGTTTGCCAGAAGCTGGGAATGGGCGACAGGGGATGGATCACTTGATGATTCCCTGTTCTGTTCATTCCCTCTGAAGCACCTGGCATTGGCCACTGTCGGAAGACAGGATACTGGGCTAGATGGACCTTTGGGCTGACCCAGTATGGCCGTTCTTATGTAGTCTAAAGAAGGGACAGGCAAAGCATTTGGGATTGTCTCAACGTGGACCAGAACCTTCACCAATAACTGAACCATTTAGCGCGAGTGGAAACATTTCAGCTGTTAGTGGCAGTCGTGGGTTGGCTGGTTGGGTGTGCGTCTTCCCGAGAAATAAAACAGACCCCCCCCCCCCCCCCCAGTCTGGTTCTCTGCTACCATAAATCGTGTCCTGGGTGGAGCTGCGCTGGTTTGCGTTAGCGGAGAATCCGGGCTTTGTGCATATTCCCACACCCTTTTCTTGGTGGCTTCACTGTGGCCGGGGACCGAGCTCAGGCGCTGCACACAGCACTGACATGAATTCCCTCTCTCCTAGGCACCAAATCTGATCTTCCTGGCCGTCAGTCCGGAGGAGAAAGAGTCCTGGATCAACGCCCTCAACTCCGCCATCACCCGAGCCAAAAACCGCATCTTAGATGAGGTGAGAAGTTCTCTCGGGGCTGGGCCCCAGCTCTGTTGTCTCAGCCTTAATCTTCAGTGAAGCCTTTGGCTTCAGCTCCCCTGCCTAAGGTACGTCTGCACAGCAGCCAGTCTCCCAGCCCGGGCCAGCAGACTGCTAAAAATAGCGGTGTAGAGGTTGTGGCTCGGGCTGTGAAGCCTGGGGTGGGCTTCAGGGCATGAGCCACGACTCAACAGCACAGTCTGCACAACTATTTTTAGCACAGTAGCATGAGCCCTGTGATCCTGACTCTGTCAGCCCCCGGGAGGCTGGCGGCTGCGAGCTGCCGTTGGCTGTGTAGACGAACCTGTTGTGGGAAAGGCCCCCCCGCACGTCCGACCCCAGCGCAAGCACATCCCTCTTTCTCAGCCTCAAAACCAATGGGGCAAAGCCGCTGGGCTTTGGCTCATGGCAATCGGCGCGTGGGGGGATCGGCGATTGCCACGCTGGCTCTGGTGGACACTCTGTGACCATCTAGCTCGTAATAAGCCAGCAGTGATTACATGCCGTGCTGCATGACTTCCATATGCCTCGGGCAACTCCTAGGTTATCTCCAGGGGCTGGCTATCCCGGGAGAACAGCCTCCTGAGGCGTAGCCCCATAAAGCACCCAGAGGGTCACCTGGACAACAGATGAGATGCGAGGCCCATCTTGCCCTCACTAAAGTGCACAGGAATCCACCCTATTGTCTGTCTTGTCTGTTTAGACTGTGAGCTCCTCGGGGCAGGGACTGGCTCTAGATAAGTGTCTGCGCAGGCCCTAGCTAATAGCCAAGGAGGAATCTGGGCCTTGTATTTTTAACTACCCGGAGAGTAGCGACCCCCGCCCCATCCCTCCCACCTCCCCATTTAAGGTCCCTTCCCATGGCAAGTGTGATGCAATGGAGTGAAGATGAGAATGAGGCCCTGAGCAAGGCCTTGCCTGCACCCAGAAGTTGCACCAGGTTAACTCAGGCTGGTTTTTAAGCCAGTGAAAAGCCCTATGTGGATGCATGTCAGAGACTGAGGTGAGGATGGGTCAGGCCTAGAGGTTGGAGCGGTGGCAGTCGGGCCCAGGGGTCAGAGCTGGAATCAGGAGTCAAGAGCAGGGTGGGAACAAGGTAAGAGTAGGGCTGGGAGCTGGGCTGGAGCAGGCTAAGGCCCATGAAGTCTGTCACTTCTCTCCGGCACAGGACGATTCCAAGCCACGAAGCTACGTTGGGCATACTGAGCTGCTCTTTCTCCCGTGAGGCTTATATACCCGCCTTGAGAGTCACCTGACCAGCTCCCAGCTTGGGGATTGGCTGCAGCCTAACACAGGAATGACTCATCCCCCTGTGGAGTTAAGGGGTGACTCATCACCTCACAGTGCACTTGTATCATTTTAAATCTGGCTGTCTCCGATCAGCTTGCGCTTGTAGGCGTGGAGTGCGCACAAGTAACCGGACAGGCCAATCCAGCTGTTCACCAACGCGCTGTGCGATAGCAGCAGGAGGACGAACTGTAGGGACATAGGCCAGCATGGGGATATGGTCTCACTCCTGTTAGAATACGGTCACTTCCAAAGTGGCTGAATTATCGTGAACTAAAGTGCGGGATGAACCCAAACAAGGTTGTTTGTGTGAGGTTGCGAGGGTGTTTCTGCTGGAAAAAGCAAAGATCTATTGGTCCAACTTCCCCATGCAAACAAGGCCTACATTTACCAGCACAAGCAAAACTGATGCAAACCAAATTGATAGGAGTGTCCACACGCAAAGTGGCATCTGTTTAACTACATCAGCATAAAATTGCCCTTTATCTAAACTGGTACAAGCAGCTGTCAGTCTGGGAAAGCAATGCTCTTGCATATGGCTTGCCATGGCAGATATGGGGTCTGCAATTCAAAGGAGGGCCTCGAAATGGTTTAATAGCCTAGCAGGTGGTTTTACACTAGCCTCTCCCTCACCCAGGTGTGATGCCCTGTGATCAATCCAGCCCACATTCACCCGTAATTCCCTATTGTGAATTGTTTTACACGGAAGCTGGTCAGATACTACGGTGATGGGTGGCAGTATAAAAACCTCAGATAGATGGTTAGAGCCTCATAATTCTCTTGCCTTTGGCGCCACCAAAAGCTCTACCAGTTAGCAGTCTGCAAACGCCTTTCAAGAGCAGACAGCACATCACATGAATCCTTGCCAGTGTCTGGAAGGTTCGGATGAGTTACCGCCAGTGGAATTCTTTTGCCCGTCCCAAATAATTGATTCCACTTCAAAGCAATTTTTGATTCAAATGGTGTTCGGCGAACATTGGAGCTCTTGGGTTTCACTGGTGCATGTCATAATGCAAACCTGTTTTTTTTATTAGCTGGCATATTTGCCAGGGGTGACCTGCAAACTGTATGTTTGACTGTCGGATTTGCAGTTTGCAATTCAAACAATCTGCCGGCCGAGAGTTCCTCCCTGAAGCAATGAGCAAATTTTTCAGCTTGTGGACAGATCGCAGATGGAAAGACAAAACTGGTTAAATAAATTATGCACCAGGAATTATCGACCCGGCTCCAGTTGCAGAGGCAGGTAGTGATGGCTTGTGGTTTGCATTTCTCAGGCACTGGGATGCTTGATGACCTTTATTGTCCTTGCAGGTGACTGTTGAGGAGGACAGCTACCTCGCCCATCCGACCCGCGACAGAGCGAAAATCCAGCACTCCAGACGGCCTCCGACACGGGGACACTTGATGGCTGTGGTACGTAGGCTAAACCCCGGGCACAAGTTCAGATAGATCATCTCCGACGTTAGCAATCCCTTATATATTTATTTATTTTGAAATGGATGGAAGAAGATACAGAGTCTTTTATCTCTGGGTTGAAATGCAACCCGGGTTGGTGAGGACTGATGGCTGTTTCCTGGCCTGTGTGAACTGAAATGCATGTCTTATTCTAGTTCCTAGTACAGAAGTGCCTTACTGGTGGGAAACTGAGGCATGGGGTGGATTAAAAGACTTGCCCAAGGTCACAGGAGGAGGATGTGTCTGAGCTGGGAACTGGACCCAGGTGTCCTGTGCCTCAGCCACTAGTCTACCCCCGCCCCCCACACCATTCCTCCTGGTGCCTGTTTCCACGCTGGCAGGGATGGGCTAGATGGGCTCATTAGAAATGCACAGAGAGGTTGATTAGTGCCATTGTTGCTGTGACGCTCAAAGTAATGGGTGGGCGGCCTCTGCATCCATCTGCTCACAGTTCCCGCCTTTCTCTCCACGCTCTGCAGGCATCTACCTCAACGTCGGATGGCATGCTGACACTGGACCTCATCCAAGAGGAAGACGCCTCTCCCGAGGACCACGGGACCTGTGAAGAGAGCTTCCGGGTAGATCTGGATAAGTCCGTGGCGCACCTCGCTGCCGGCCGGCGCCGGTCGGATTCGGAGAACGTCAAGTCCTCGGAGAAAGGCCGGTCGGTGAGCCTGCCGAGACGGGAGGCGATCTCGTGGGACAAAACTGGGAAACGCAATGACGCCTTCGAGAAAGGGACCATGTACACCCCGCAGGTCCCCAAAAAGCTCTCGCACTCGGAAAAGAACAAATGTGCCTCCATGGAGGAGATTTTGTCTCGCCGGGACTCTTCTGCGCACCGGGCAGTGCTGAGGAAGGGGCTGGAGGCTCAGTTTGCTTCGGGGGAGCCCGAGCAGCTGGCCCGGATACAGGAACTGGTTGCACTGAAACTGGAAAAAACTCAGGAACTGCTGGCGGAGGTGAAGGGCTACGGGGAAGGGAAGCGAAAGACAAAAGATTTCGCCGCTGCTGCCACCACCACCTCTTCCTCTTCCAAGTCGGACTCTGAGAGCATCTTGCAGGAGACGCAGAGGTTGCTGGGCGAGGCCTCCTCCACCTGGAGCCAGGCCAAGAAGGTGTTACAGGAGATTAAAGAGCTAAGGGACCTGTACAAACAGTTAGAACTGCAGCCGTCGGACCCTACACCCAAACAGATCTCACAGTCTCAGTACAGGAAGAGCATGATGTGAAGGCACGCTTCAGGGTGGGGCGGTGGTGATTTCTTTTTATTATTATTTACGGTGTTCGAAACAGTACAACGTGCCTGTTCTCATCAAAACTTGCTCCTCGAGCTTGACCCCTTCCCCTCCCCAGATCTCCCCCCGTCCCCAGATGAAACAAAAGGTGTTCCAATAAATCAGTTTGGATTCCTACTTTCTTTCAAAGTATCCTTTCTCTGCGTTCTTGGGCTGCTCGTGTCATGCTTGCAGGATGGAAGATCACCAAGACCTGGAAAGCTCCCGGCATACTTGTGGAGACATACGCACAGCAGCAGAGGTAGATATTCTCTCTCTATAGAAGCCCTGGGTTTGCTGCTCTGAACCCAGAGCTGCGGTTCTGTGTCCGGCGTTACAGCTCCTTGATCAAGAGCATTGGCAACTTGGTTTATGTTTTTCCTCCTCGTTAAAAAAGAGTCAGCACGTGGAGGTCCCCGTTATCCAAAAACTGTTGGGAAGATGCTTGCCAGTGACATCCAAGCCAGGGTTGGAATTCCGCTGTCAGAACGAGGAGATTCACGGCCTGGAATGCAGTCTGACGTGTCATGAGAGGCATCGGGCGCTCCTTCCTGGACTGCAGTTAACAGGGCTCTTCCCTGGCGTTCCTGCACTGATCCCAAACCCTCTTTTGCATACTCCTGTGGCAGGCAGCTGTTAATACATGTGGTACATATACAGCCCTCCCTACGGAGGCAACAGGTATGCAATCTGTGTTAAAACTAACCCTGTCTGTCAGCTGACAGCCGATGCTTCGGAGACACCCCCAGGCCCAGTGCAATGAGATTTAGCAACCACAATGTCTTCCTTCTTGTGCAGATGATCAAAGCCTGGAGTCCAACGGGCAGTCATTATTTGTTTTTCATTGTTCTTTCCTTCATTTAGGCTGGAGTGAAATGGAAAGTCAGGGTTTGGCACAGAGGGCAACAGAAAAGCTGAGAATTGCAGTTGGTTTAATGGGCCTGATTCTGCTCTCACTCACACTCCATTTACACAATCGATCCTCACACCATTGTCTCTTAGCTGACATTGACGTGAGGTCAGTATCAGGCCCACTGAAACTCAAACGGATCCCAAATTAGAGCTCAGATATCCTCGTCTGGCTGATGTCTAGCACTTTTCTAAATAGGTGGCTTAGCTTTCATGCACTTAAGCAGCAGGACAAGAGGGAAATATGCGAAGATTTCTCTCAGGGCTTAAAGTACACTGGCAAATTAACATCAGTTGTTTTTTCCAAGAAATCTAATTTCCTTGCCTATGTTGCAAAGAACCCCTGAGAATATTAAAAACAACGGAGTTTTAAATGACTAATTTCCTTTTCACTGTTTACATTTTGTACCTCTCACATATTTGAAATGAGAGGAGTTATGTTGACGTCTGTGTCTGGTCAGTTTCATTCATATTGCCGGCTAAGGCTGTGATGTTTGGGTTACAAATGCTGCAAGGAAATGTTGATCTGTGTTTTTTAAAAGCTCCCACCAGTTGGAATTAAATAACATTGGTGGAAATATTTCTATTGGCCTGAGCTTCTTTAACAGCTGGTTGTTTGCAAAGCTTAAATTTGGGGCCCAATTTCACCTGACAATGTCCCTTTAAGTTATTCATGTCTCTTTTCAAAACCTATCCTTCAAACGGCAGAAGAATCTCTGGCTCATTTCAGTTCTTATCACAAAGCCACACAGTCATGCTGTCATGATAGAAATGGGGAGATTTGGCTTTTACAGAATTTACAAGAAGTATCCTTTTCTTGATTTTTTTTTTAAACATGTTGGACCACTCAACGGGTGCATTTTTACAGTCAGTGGAATCAAATTTCATCCCTTAAAAAAAAAGGATTTAAAAAAAAAAAACCTGACAAGAAAGCCATTCTGACAGTGCCCTTCTATGTCATCTCTCTTTGATCCAGAAGGAAACAAGAAAAAAAAAACTTCAAATAGTTTTCAGATATAATGTTAAGCATTAAAAATAACCCGGTTCTCAAAATAGAAAAGCTGTTTTAAAATCAGAGGTTCTAATTACACTGGATTAGCCTGGACATGTGTCATGACTGGGGTTGAGATTCTAGGCACTGGAATAATATCAAAATGTATGTATGTAAAAACACTTGATTGGGTTATATAGTTCTAGCAAGATGCCCAAAGTCTCAGGTGCATATGGGGGTCACTGAACACACCCGAGAATCCCACAGTTATGTAGAACCTTGTTCCTTCAAAATCTGTCTTGTGCAACCTGCCAAGATAGTGACAAAAACTGCTTGGTTAACAGGGGTGGTTATCTGACTATAGAAAAAACGAAACAGTCCTAGAGACTTTGCAGGTGTCTTGAATAGTCACCTAAGACAGGGGTGGAGTTGCCCATTGGAAGTGGGGCTTGGTGCAAGTTTCACTCTATGGGAGTAATTACCCAGGGTTCCAGGCAGGTTTGTACAGTAGCTCTGCTACCTTGAAGCTAGCTTGGGCATATCTACAGGAATGGCGGTTACACCCTGTGGCTGCAGTGTAGACATACTCTGTGTATTTACGGAGCTAAGGAGTTCCAGCACCTTGGCAGGAGACCACCTGTCGGTTTGGAAGCAGGTGTGTCCTACAATGAAAACTCACATGTCACCTAGTTGTTAGAGCTGGGCAAAATTTTGCAAAAGGTTCTAAACTTGGGACCAGGTTTTGCCGAGCTTCACTAACCTTCCTGCTAACCTACGGTGGACTTCTGGGCAAACGGGGGCGGGCAGAGTTATGGTTGTGGACGGAACCATTCCGTATGGATTTGCGTGGTTTTGACCCCCAAATTGGGCAGTTGTGGGTTTGGTTCAACCCAAAACTCCTGTGATACAAACCCGGTGAAGTGAATTCAAAAAAGAAACCATCACACTAGTGCCCCTGAAAACCAAACCAGGCAAGTTTCATTCAGCTCTAGCCACGGCATTTATGTCTGGACATCATGATTCTGCATCAGCACAGAATAATGATGTGATGCTGTGAGATCACGGTCGCCTCATCATGCCACAGTGACATTGCTCTTACCCCGGAGCATCCCAAAAGGTAGAGATGCAAAAATTACCCAATCAAAAACTGGGATGAGTGGAGACTCAAAGGAATTGGAATCTTCCCCATCCAATCAAATTCCTAAAGTCCCCCCTGCCCATGACCTCAGAGGGGATGTTGGAGGTGGGAGGAGAAGAGGTATGGAGGGCCATCTCCCACTCCTTGCTTCTGCACCTGGGTCAGGAACATCGCCGTGGTTTTCATGACTCTTCCGCGCCTTGAGCTCCCCCAAAATGCCTATGGCAGCTGCTTCTGGGTGACATTCTGGCCCCACTGACATCAGTGAAGCCAGGATTCCACCTTCTGACTTGAAGCAGAGCTAACTTTACGATTTTGAGGGTCCCAACAAAGGGGTTATTTTTGAGGTGCTCATTCCCCTTCTATCTCCCAACTCCATCTCTCCTTCTCCCTCCCTGATCAATGAGCCTAGAGAGCACTTGGCTTTTACGATCCCATGCTGTGGCACAAAGAGAGGCCCCAAAGCTGGCCAGGCCTGTCCCACTCCTTTGGCCTTTCCCCCACCCAGCAGCGTTGCCAGAGAATTTGGTAAGACGGCACGTTCGCATTATCATTTATTATTTGTAGAGCAAGCTGGACATTTTTCAATGGAATGTTTTTCCTTTGGAAACCAAAACTTCCCATGGGAACATGTCTATTTTGATAAAATTTTGTTTCGGGGGGAAAAAGTGAGGGGGAAAACAAGAGTTTTGATGAGTTCAAAACATTCTGTTTTGACATTTTCAGACTGGAACACGTCAGTATTTAGTTTTGAAATGTATATTATAAAAATGTAAACACATTTTAAAACGCCAACACTGAAACAAGAGAGACAAGGTGGGTGAGGTTGTATCTTTTATTGGACCAACTTCTGTTGGTGAGAGAGAGAAGCTTTCACGCTTACACAGAGCTCTAAAACATTTCAATTGGCCCCAAACCAAAACTTTTTCAGAAATGTCATTTTCTGGAAAATTTTGAAATTCTTTGGTTTTGTTCTAGTTGGTAGCTATGCAAATTTAGAGATCACCGAATTTCCTGCAAAACAGAAATTCCAGTTCCCACGCAGCTCTAGTCAGGTATCAGGACTCACTGTGCAAGGTGCGGTACATTTTTATTGCTGGTAGGTCTATTACAGTAGCGCCTAAGGGTCCCAGTCATGGATCAAGTCCCATGGCGCTAGGTGCTGTACAAACACAGAACAAAGAGACAGACTTTGCCCCCAACATGGGATATAATTCCCTCTCCATTCACTTTTAATCTCTTTTATTTTATTTTAAATTTCACCAAATGTTCCCCATTTGTCAATCCCTTTTGTGGGATTACAGAGAAAAGCCAAATACAAGAGAGAGTGGCATGTGTGGGGAAAATATGCCAATCAGTTTAGCACTGCTGTTACCTTCCTTCCCGAGCACATCTTCCCGAGTTAAAAACAGCATGAGGAGTTGTGGTGGGGAAGGGAGATAATGTGTGGGAGGAATGTTCGTGATGACTGGGGGTCTGCGTAGGGAGGAGGTGGGGTAAAGAGACCAAGGGGTGTGATTCTCCATTCCCTTGCACTTTGTGCAGTCATTTGTGTCAGTGCAAAGTGGGTGCATTTTACACCCATTATGCACTGATACAATTGACTGAACAAGGGGCAGGACAAACAGAGAACCCGGCCCCACATCCTGTGTGTCTTTGATTCATCTGATCTTTCACAGCAAGTTGCAATTTTTGGTTTTAAACCTTCTGTGCATCAAGAAACAAAAAACTGAGCCAGTTTCACTGATGCTCCATAGTCGGATCTTTTCAATCCAGCTGTGCATGTTGGGAAGCAGCGTGGCCTAGTGGATAGAGCCCTGGACTGGGACTCAGGAGATCTGCATCCTACTCCCAGCACTTCTGCTGGGTGAGCTTGGGCAAGTCACTCTCTGCCTCAGTTTCCCCCGCTGTGAAATGGGGAAAAAGATACTGACCTTCTCCGTAAACCACTTGGAGATCTACTGATGAAAAGTGCTCTGTAAGAGCTAGATATTATGATGCTATGACTAGCTGCTCTCTGGTTTATTAGGCATTGCACACTACTGTGGAACGTTTGTATTGGTATTAGGTTTTCTGGTTCTGGAGCGAATGCATGGACAT